ATTGTCAACTCATTCCAAAACAATTCTAACAGCAATTGAGCAATTTTTTGCTCAAATTTTCTCAGCACCCTGGAATGTAATTTGAACAGTCAAGATTTACTTTTTGAGGGCTTCGGTCTCTTTTAGATTCTTATGCCATGAAACCACACCTAACTCTCACCCCTCATGCCTACTTTGAGGAGCAGCTTCCCAATGCCCAGTTTTCCTTTGCTATTGGTCACAGAAGGAAGTCAAGAGGGCTGTGCCCACTGGGTGTCTATTTGATCCACAGGTGAGACCATCAAAACTGACCTAACAAGGTCACCCCCCCTCAACTAGGTGCCCATTAGAATGTCCATTTCACCAACTCATTCTTCCTTGGAGTTTAAGGCTAAATTGAGAATAGCAGCTTCCCTGTGTCAGTGGAAACAGTGGATCAAGCCAATAATTCATCAAACTATATAGTAATGGAAAATTTATCTTAAAAACTATTGGTATTTTCTTGCTATCTGAAAAAGACACTGTGCTAAGTGGGCACCAGGTGGCTTTGTTTGTTTGGACGACCTAATCTGGGCAGTCTGTAAACAACAGATGCGTCCTGCTCACAGTTCTGGAGGTAGGGAAGTCTAAATCCAGGCACCAGCAGATCTGGGGTCTGGCGAGGGCCTGTTCCTCATGAGTGGAAGGTGCCTTCTTGCTGTGTCACCACCTGATGGAAGGGCAAGCAGTGTCCTCAAGCCTCTTTTACAACAGCACTGGTGCCATTCATGAGTGTGGAGCCTTTGTGACTTAGTAACTTCCCAAATGCCCCACCTCTTACTACTAGCACATTGGATAGTAAGTTTGAACAAAGAAATTGAAGGTGGGAGACACCAATACTCAGACCATAGCAGTGGGTTTATGGGGTTTTTTTTAGAAGACTTGGCACAAGACTCAAGGCTAGTACTGAATCCTGCATCATTTGGAAAGGATTCTTCCACCTCCTAATATTAAGCTGTCCAGAGTATTCACACCCAACTCTTGTTAGCTGGCTACTTTTCTTCCCAATCCTCACTTAAGAATCAGCCAAACCTTCTCTGACCACTCTGGTGCAGGCAGTCTTCACCTCCTGACTGATTTTCATTTACTTATTTCGATTAACTAGGAAAACAAAGGCCAGCAATGGCAGACCCTCACCTTGTGTTCCCTGGACCTAGAAGGCTTGGTACCCAGCAGGGGCACCATATCCACAGCTGCTGAGTTGAGGCAGGAAAGCAGGGGTGACATCACCCACTGAGCTGAGCATAGGAAAAGCAGGCTGGTTAAACTCTCCACTGTGGAAAAACAGCAGGGTTACAGCACAGAGATTGACACTGAGTGAAAAAAGTATATGGTGTTCTTCACTAACCACGTCCTTTAGATGATTTGGGCATATGAAATTTTGGAGTAAAGTTGATGGTAGATCATGCTCCCCTTGGTTGAAAGCACAGGGAAAACTAGGATGGGAGAACTTCAGTGTTAAACAGACCTCCAGGCAGACTTGCCTCCTCCTCCCTAAGTGCTACCTTACCATCGGCACAGGTGCCCAAGATGGCACCACAGGGAGTTACCCTGTGGGGTGCTGAGAACCAAAGCCAGAGTTGAATAGTAATGAGTCAGTTTTTCCTACAGTTGAAGAGAATTAGAAACATAGTCACAGAGTTTAGACAGAAGAGATTTCTAGAAGAGCAGGAAGGAGACACCCAAAATTGGTCAACCCAGATCCAAATATGGAATACGAGAAAAACAAGGACAGGAAGATGTAGTCAGAAGAGTGAGGAAAGCAGACCCATCTGACCGGGAAAAAGAATGTGACAAATCCGTCCCCGAGGGCCACATCAGGCTGCCCAGGGCATCTTCAGTGGACAAAGTGCTGTGACTGGCACGCTCAGCCCAGCATTCTGCAGGGCCAGAGCATGTGTCTCCTGTTGGGCCAGATGAGGTGTGTGCACCAGGAACACACAGGTGATCAGGTGGCTGCGTAGCCAAAGAAGACCCACAGGCTCTGACTGCCTGCCTCAGTCTCCACCACCATCAACCACAGCAGGGGCCTCGTGTGGGCGAGAAGATGACTGAGAAAATGTAAGCGAGAGGACTTTTTCAGAAAAGGATGTTTGGAAGTGTTTCCATGGGTTAGGTCACATCTTGGCCAAAAAATCATGTGAGGGTGTTACTCAAAGCAACTTGGGAATGGTTTTATAATTTGTTCAAAACTTTCCAAATGAGGAGTTTCAGTGTTTTAAAGCCTTGGGTTAAAAATTATAAAACTTGAACACATTTTGATGAGTCTGTGTTGTCTGCCACAGGAGAGGATGGAAATTCACTAGGCAGATTTCAACAAAAACTTTTGCATAATTGATAAATAAAAATGAGTAACGAGCTTTATGGCTTACGGGACCACAGTGCTCTTTCCCCATTTAGAGACACGCGATTTGGGAAGTCTTTCTTCAGCAATGACAATGCATTAAAACGAACAACTAAGTTAGGCTGAACCCGGAAACTGCCAACTGAATCACTCTATCACAGTCTTTAGACAAACATTTAAGATAATGAAGCATTCATTGTTCTCTAAAGAACACTGGATTGCAACTTTATCATTAATTTTTTTTTTTTGCAGTTTTTGGCCAGGGCTGGGTTTGAACCCGCCACCTCTGGCACATGGGACTGGCGCTCTACTCTGAGCCACAGGTGCTGCCCTATCATTAATAGTTTTAACCACTATATTTTACCTCATTCAAAATGTCTACTTCACAATCCAATTTAGTCATGCACAAAATTTATTAATAAACATATATACAGTGGTATAAGTTTGCCATTAAGGCTTACAACTAAGAGGTTGGTTGATTGTTTTGTTTAGAGATCTGGAGATCTATGAAGTCTAGACATTAAGAATCTTCTTTCTTTTGTTATCAATTTCAAATTTTCCAAATAAGGACTGCTGTGGCTATTCCCTAACACAACTCTTCACTTTCCTAGTCAGTCTAATGACTTTTAGAGACGGCAGCAAAAACCTTTACAGAATGGAATGTTTCTCTTCAATAAAACCAAACGCAATCCTGTCTCTTTTCCTTCTAAAAACATTACAATTACAATGCAAAGGTTTTCAAAAGTCCAAAGGTAAAAGAAATAGCTGTCAAGAACAAACACGGTGCATAATCATGGCAGATCCTGGTGGTATAGTGTATGTGTTCCTCTGCCTGAGGCCACACCTACACGGCCACACCTCACTGGAGCACCCACCAGTTCTAACTCATGACAAATTAAAGCCACTGGGGTCATTTCAGGAGGGACCCTCATGTGGCCTCACCAGAGAGATCAGCTTTGTGAAAACTAAAGCTGACCTTTCCTTGCTTTGTCAATTGATGTCATCAGAAATGAATGGTTCCCAAAACTCACTGGAATTAAAGCTGGGTGAGGCCCACCAGTAGGCTGTCAGAAGACCAGCAGGGTTCTACCTCGACCCTGTAGCCAACCTGTTATGTGATTGGGAACCTCCCTTCCACTCCCTCCGCATTTTCCTCCGCAAAATAAGGTGGGAGGTCATTTTCTTACAGTGTAAAGTACAAGTAGGTTCCCTCTAGCCTTCCCAGTCCAAGATTTTGATCTATGTCAAACCCGAAAGCAGAGCTCAGATTTAAGACATGGTGGCTTTTAAGCTTTTTTCCCACATAATAAGTTTCTAGATTTTAATACGTCAAATTCAATTCAGCCCTTTCTACAGCTGGCAGAGGGGAGCTGGGGGAAGTCCCGGGGGCCAGTCTGTCATCTCCAGTGTAACTCCAATGACTCTTAATGTCAAAAGCCATCTATGGCTCTGAACTCTATGGATCACTAACCACACACACCAACACGTGCATGCTACCACTCAAATTTGGCAGGCTCTAAAATTAACCGCATGGCCAGCCCAGAACTACATTGCCTGAGTCCCCTTCCTGGCTCTCAGAGATGCTGGGATGAGATCTAGAAGGCAAAAGTGAAGCAAGTGCCATTTTTCTCTGAAGGGCACCAGCATCCTGTGCGACTCAGTGACAGACAGATGGCCCAGCCAGTTCCAGCTCGTCCTCATTTTCCTCAGCTTCACCTTTGTCTCTTTTCCCCAAGAGTGCTGACCCAGAGGGGCCCCAGACCACCACTGGACACTTGGCTACAGACCACCGGGGTGGTCACTCTGGCAGCGACAGCGCCCCACAGGACTCCGCATGCATCACCTGCCCAGACCCACTTCAGCAGCGGATTCATGCTTTGCTTCTCAGACGGACCACCTGGTGGCCTCTCATGATCCTGGACCTTCATGACTCCAGCTCTTTCCGCATAGTGGTATATCGGACTAATTCTGGAATAAAACCTGGTTCCCACAGCACTCAGAGTGATTCATCTCCCCCTGCACCAGTCAAACCAGACACACAGAGCCTCTATCTACATGCACCCTACGAGGGAACCAGACCCTTCACAGTGAGACTCTCTTTGGTTCTGTGTAACAGTGTACTTCCTGTGGGCTCACAATGTCAAGTGTAAAGAGGCGCAAATGGTACTTTAAAAAGTACTTCCAAGGGCAAGCATGTATGTGTGTGCACATGCGTGTGTGTATACAGTTGTGAGTTAAGGAAAAATAGAACATGAAACTCAGTTTTAAATTTTGCCTCTGGCAGTCCTCACACGGCTGCCGCTACATATCTTGCTAAGTCCCAGGCTGAGGCTGTGTCCAACCTAAACAGGCTCTTGTCAACTGTCCTTTCTGCCCAGTGAATTTTGCTGCCATGTATGACAGAAGTCACTGATCTCATTGGTGTCACACCCTGCATATACGCATTAAAACATACAAAACATTCAGGTAATAACACTGGAAACAGATGCCAGCACCTCGAGTGAGCTCACGGACAGGTCATGTTCCCAAGCAGACCCCAGGTGTTCAGAAGGCATCCCTTTACTTTACTCTTAGACTCAAGAGTAAAAAATGGAAAATTTCAAAAAACCAAAACGAAAAACCTGTGGGCATGAATTATTTCTTATTTTATTGCTTGTTTTTTTGCATAATGCAGAGTCAATGTTTTTAAGTAATAGTAATAAGATGTGCAAAATTCAACATTATTAAACATTCAAACAGTAAAATTTGTGGAAAGAAGCCCTCAAATGTTAACTCCTCTAAGTTAAGCCAGGGGAACCATTCATGGATCAAGGCTACTGGACTCACCATCTTGGTTTAGGATGGGAGCTGCTATGCTCTGACCTTGGGAAGTGGGATGCTTAGTTTCCCTTTGAAAATGGCCAGGGAGATTCATAATGACCCTAAGTATGGCAATCTTTCCTTTCTCCCCAGGCCTCAGATTCTGCTATTGAGAGAGATGAAACTCGTGTGGAATAGATGAGTGTTATGATGATGAAGACCAGGGCGACTCTGCTGTCAAGGAAGTGACGTGCAGGTCTTCTCTAAGCCAACCCGCTGTAAGAAAACAACCCGTTCGAAGAGCTCATTGGAGAGCCCTTCCTTACACTGTGGGGCTGAACTGAACCCAGGGCTGCTGTGAGCAGCCATCGCTTGTTGAAGGCACAGGGTCCTCGTCACCGTGAAGGAGGGAGTCACTGTGCGGCAAGTTATGCTCAAAACACACATCCCACCTCTGGAAAACTGTCGCCAGCTGCCACACATCTGCGTGCCACTTCAGCCTGACTTTTTCTGAAAGTCCAGAATCTTGGGCATCCCTGAAAATCCTGATGTGCCCTGCTCCTTTTCCAATTTCTAAAGGATGGAGACTCAAAGAGAAGTACAGGTACGTTACACTGTACAACAAGCAAAAATAAATACACAGCTCCATGGTATGGATACAAAACTATCACAAAGAAATAAATAACTCAGGCCCCACAACTGCAAGTCACACTCCAGCAATACCTGGTGGAGTCTAGAAAAATGGTGATTGTCCCATAACATTTATTTACCATGACTTTAACAATTATATTTAAGGGATAAGCAAAAATGTATGAAAACAATATTATTTTTTAAAAGATAAACTTTCTCAAATATCAAGGATGGTAATCAAGATGCCCAATTTAAATGACTCACTTTCTGCCCTTCCCCATGGTCAATTTCAGTTTCCATCACAAGAATGGACAAGAGCCAACTGTCCCCAGTGACAAGGAGGGTGTAATCACTTAGACGCTCTCTGGAGGAATGATGGACCCAGGCTCTGCCTGAGGAATCCTCTCAAGCCCTTCCAGCTTTTGAAGTTCCACGGTATCATGACTGTTCTTTACAAACACAGTGATATGGAGAAAGGAACCAACCAGAAAACATGAAGGTGATTTATTCATGTCCATGCCATCGAAAGCTACTGCTCATAGGAATTGGGACTGGAGAACGGATGAATGAAAACCTCACACAAAGAAACCACTGGGACACTCGCCCCTGAATTGCAGGTGTAGGTTCATGGGACTCTGCATGCTGGCGAGCCAGTGTCCTCCCTGAGAAGCATGCTTCACACTCCCTCGGCTCCCTCCAGCACCCTCTCCCTGTCCCTCTGGTTAAGGCCTAGACAGTGCTGGGCGGTGCTGAGTCGTCTGTCCCCTGGCTGCTCAGTTCTGCCGCCTGCCTGCGCAGCTCCCCGACCGTCTGCAGCAGGGCTGCCCGCTCCAGCTCCAGGGCCAGCGCCGCCTGCTTCAGCTTGCTCTCGCTGCTCAGGAGCTTCTCAATGGTGGCTTCGAGGCTCTGGATCTTACCATTTGCCACCTGGAAAAAGTAGGAAGAAATTAGAAGGTAACTGCTGGGGTAATGTGGGAGGCAGCCCGTCCCCTTGCCTCCAGCCCTGTGAGACCTGGGAGCTGAGTGTGGGCAGAGACAGGTCTATTGTACAGTTAGTTCTGGCCACACGGAAGACATCCCTCAGGTTCCCACGCAGATAGGCTGGGATGGGCCCTTAAAACACCCTGAGATCCTCCAGCATTTTCTTTACTTGCAATACTCTGGAAGCCAGATGTTGAGATGGTGGTACCCCAAAAAGGAGAGAACCTGAGCCCCTAGTCACTGCCATAGGAAGGCCAGCTCTGACATAGCCAAAGAATGCTTCAAGTGGTGGCGCTCGGGGACACAAACACTTCTGTGCTCAGCCACTGATGTGGAGCTATATTTATACTGTAGCATAGCACACACACACACACAAATATATATATATATATATATTTTTTTTTTTTTTTCCTGGAGACAGAGTCTTATTCTATTGCCCAGGGTAGAATGCTGGTGTCACAGCTCACAGTGACCTACAACTCTTGGTTGGGCTCAAGGTATCTGCTTGCCTCAGTCTCCCAAGTAGCTGGAGCTATAGGCGACCATCACAAAACCGGTTAGTTTTTTTATTTTTAGTTGAGACAGGATCTTGCTCTTGCTCAGACTGGTCTCAAACTCCTGAGCTCAGGCAATCCACCTGCCTCGGCCTCCCAGAGTGCTAGGATTACAGGCATGAGCCACTATGCTTGGCCTCAGCATGGCCTGTTTTGACTATAATCCATATATCTTCATGTACAAATTGATCTCCAACAGGCAAACGGTCCAAATGACTTCCCAAATGAAGGCCCAAGCAGTGACAGCTCTCTAATCTGAGGTTCTTTTTCTTCCTTTTCCTTGGAGGAATGAGACAGCACTATGTCAACAACCATGAGCATTCCCCCTGGAACATGCTGGCCAAGCTTTTGCTAAGAGGCTGCATGCCCCACCTCACTGGCTGCTCTCCACCACCCACGAGATAATGTGTCACCCCTACAGAGGGGGGACCAGGCTCTTGCTTAGTTTGTACCTTAGTGCCTAGCACCCAGTCACTGCTCGTTAAACATAACTTCCAAGTGTTCCTCTCTCGCAACTGCCCCTCTCTCCATACTCCACCAGGGCAGGCTTCGCAGACAGCAAGCGTGTCAGCTCTACTGAAGGGGAGGGTTCGGCAGAAACTCCTTTTCTGCTGACGTCCCCAAGGGCTTTCAGGCTGACTTCTCAGCTCAGGGCCGTATCCTGAAGCCTTCTGGCCACTGTGTCATCAGGGGCCGCTCTAGTTTATGAACCCAGCCCAACTCTTTACCTGCCCCATTTATTTTGGGTGAGGAAAATGGCACATCTATTTTTTTCTTCTCATTTTTCAAAAAAGAGAAATAGTTTGAATAACATTTGTGTCAGACAACCCATGACTCAAAGTCTAGCTCTGGCTGTGCCACACTAGAACATTCATAATGGAAGGAAAAAGGGACTGAGAGCCTTAGTTTGTCACTACAGGGCAGGGAGACGTCACTCTTGGTGTGACTCCCTAAGAAGTGCTCTCTGATCTCTAAAATCCTATCCATGGCCAAGGCCTAGGTCAGGTCCCACCCTTGTCACTACATTCCGAGGTATGCCCCGCAGCTTAGCTAGCAGGGAGCTAATTTGCATGGTCATGAATGCCAGGGCTCCTGCGGAAGCCGGGGACTCCTCTACAGGAGAAAGCTTGTCTCAGCTTTCAGGTGGTCCAGCCTCCCACAGCACCTGGCTCAGTGTGGGCGCCCGATGACCTGTGGTGATTATGAAAATCCTACGTGCATTATTATTTGGCTCCCTCTAGGATGTCTATGCACTTGTCTGATGTACTGCTGAACAGAACAGATGAGGATTTTGACCTCCAGCTTCTAGACAACATGTATCCGTGTTTAACAAGAAAATAAATGGGACTTAGACATGTCTAGCAATGATAAAAACAGAACAAAACTGAAAAAGTAGGTCAATTTTGATTCTTCGGCAAAAAAGAAAAAAGATTTATGTACAAAATTCCGTACTGTGTTGAACACACTTCCTTGGACAGCTTCTGAAAATGTACAAAGGGAGGCATGATTCTCACATAAGATGTGCACATTCTCGTGCGGAATCTGAGGAAAGGCAGATCCAAACACCTCCAAGGTGACACAGCACAGTCCTAGTCTTTTGAGAGCTGCGATGCTTCCCTTACTGTGGTGGCCCCAGTACCCCGCACAGGAAGGACTCAGGGGACACTGGTGGGATGGCACAGACTGTCATCCCGAGGATCCCTTGGTCAGAAGGGAGAAGATGTGTTACTTCCAATTAAGACAGATGCCTTTCTTGAGGAATGTAGAAATCTGAGCAGTTTCCCACAATTCCCTGCCTCCACAGAAGGGGCACAGTAACACAGAAGCAGCATAAAATTGCTTTCCACCTTCTGTCACCAAAAAGCCACCTGGGCATTAACCCAATAAAATCAGTCTTTCATTTGAGTTCTGCCAGATGCTTTAACGCAAATGTAAGTTTTGTTTGAAGTATCTCCCTCACGGTATTCAGGGTGGCCACCCTGTATTTCAGGGACCTGCTACTGGCTTGAAGCCACCTAAGGTGAACTGTGTACCCTACAGGCCAACTGAGGTTGTCTGTCTATTGAAACTTCTTTCAGGTGACAAAAGAAGTTAAATTTCAGAATATGGGTGGAGTTAGGACTGGGTAGGAACAGTATTTGTCTTTGTTCCTCTCCTGTACACAACACACGCCAGGGTGTGCTGGGATAAATGTCCAGGAGGGGAGTACACTTCAGACAGGCTGGTTCACTGGGCCCTCAGATGCTGGCCTTTCGCAATCTCCGCCAAGCTTGTATCTATAAAGCATAACTTTCTATAGAAGAAAGTCAAAGTATTTAAATCAGACTAGAAAGCTTATTTGAAGGACAGCCCAGGGATACTATAAAATGCATTATCGTGGGGAAAAAATATGTATTTTTTTCTCCACGGCAACTCTAAAACAATTTTTAAATACCCCAATTCCTTGACACTGACAGCATTACCACCCATTTGTAATGTTAAAAAAGTAGAATATATGGTTGCTTATGGCATTTGGTTGGCATAGGAGCTGCATGGTATTAGGTACGTGGGTGAGAGAGCCAGGACAGAGTAACAAGCAGGTGGGACAACCCTGGACCTCTGGGAAGGTCCATGTCTCTGGACTGTACCTCAGTGCTCCCCTCACCTCCTGTGTGCACAGTCCACACAGGCCCTTGAAATGGAAGTTTTCTAGAGGGGAGAACTGAACCCTCGGAGAATGGAATTTTTGGATTTGCACCAAAGACTCTCAAATAATGATCATCGGCTCTGGTTCACTTTGTTAGGTAGATTTCTCTATCACTGTCCTCCCTTAACATCCCTCTGTGGACCCAGCGGGTTTTGCTCGTGGATGTTAAAGCTCTCAGTTCTCTCATCGTAATTCAAAGCACAATTGCTGCTTTCAGCTAACAGCACCACAGCATCCCGAACCCAAGTTCATCTCTGGGCCTGTCTCCCAGAAGGGTAAGTGCAAAAACAGCCTCTCAGAAAGCTCTGTCTGAGAGGACTGTCTGACCTTAGCAAAGGACAATCTGTCTGCTCCATATAAAAAAGATCAATTCTCCAGGGGTACCTTTGATCCCAACTATAAACAGATCAGGGTGAGAAAGGTCCTCCGGTCCTGGGAAAGCCCAGTCTGCAATCGCCTTTGGTGAGTTAATGAACTACTCTTCATCACGGTTCAGGGAGCTGCTTTCTAAATATGCCCTACCTGCAGCTGTTCAAGGAGGTCAAGGTTCTGTTTGCGTAAGCTGCTGTTGGTTTTCTCTAATTTATCCATTCTTTGGTTGTCACTGAGAGGAGAGGAATCGATAAGTTCTTCTTGAAGCACATGGTACTCAACTTCATAAGCTTGTAACTGTTTAGCGATGTCCATCTCAAACACCTGTTATGTAAAGAAAAGTCGTTAGCTGCTGACAATGAAAAAAAGCTCTCACACACACAGAGGGGGGTGCATGCCATCAAACATCCACCAGGCATCTCCTGTGTGATCAGGAGTGAGAAAGAGGAAAACTCTATACACTGAGAAGGCCACCATTTTACTTGGGAAAAAAGGATGTAGGAAACATCTAGATCTAATTCCAGAATAACAGTAAATCTCTCCTCTTCCAAAAGCCAAAATTTCATTTTTAAAAAAGACTTACAATTTTATTTTTAGTTCTTACTATAATACTTATTTCACCGCTTTGAAAATTCTGTTAGGTTAGATGCATCAATTGTGGGTTAAAAGGAGAAAAAAAAATCCAAAACAAAAGAATCATAGCTTTATTAGCACAGTCATCAAGTCAAAGTGTAATTATAGTTCAGTTGGGTTTTCTGGGGTACAAGAGCCGCTCAGTAATGGAACTGTTTACTAAGAAACTCTCCTTTGCACTCGGATATGCAGAAATGAGCCAAGACCCAAATGTCACCCACAGAGATGAATGAACACTCAACAATGCCTGAGTTGTCTTCCTTCCCACAATAGGAATAGTGATGAAAACACCACACGTGTGAAAAACAACCCCAAGGGCACGAGGGAATGGAGCTGCTCAAGTCTGTACTTTCTCTCCGGAAGGGAGACAGGGCAGCAAGGGACTCGGAAGATGAGTATGCTGCTGCCCAAGGCATGTCCTTTCCTTCTGATGTTCCTATGGGATAACCCCACGAGGCTGGGGCCTCTCAGCACAGCAGAGAAGCCCCAGTGTTTATTCGGCAGATCTGAGAAGGCAGTCAAGCTGAGACCATCTGAAAAAACCTGGCTAGAGCAGAACAGAGTCCAGGCAACGGCCTCCCTACAGCAGCTCCTAAAGAGACCACAGCTGTTAAAAATCAGTGAAAAAATGATCCCCTCTGATGGCACCTGTTAGCATTCAAACTACCTTATCTTCCCTGAAATCAATTTTCCAAAACCACATTTACTTTCTCACCATTTCTAACAATCTTATTCTATTTTCTCTTGAGACTAGTTTTTCGTTTTGCTGGTTTTCGATTTCATTCAGTGATGATCCTAACAAGGCACACAAAGTCATTTGGTGCCTAAAACTTAAATACCTTATATCTGTGGGGGGGTGGGGGGGGAGGGACCACAGTGTACCGAATTAAATGGACTGCTATGTCCCGCGGCGACCATGAGGTCAGTAGGGATTATCACTTCCACTTCACAGTTGAGGTAACTGAGGCTTTGGGTCAGCTCTAAACGCATGGCAGTGGGGGTGCGGGATGGCTACACTTGTCACCAGCCACTCACATCAGAAATGAAACTTATTTTGCTTTCCCATCAACATCCAGTTTTAATATTCCTTTTTTTTCACCGATTGGGCTCTGAGACAACATATTTTAGGATCAAGTTTAATCTCAGACCCTTCTGCTCATGCTCTGGCTAAGAACTGGTACAAGCCGTGGGTCACTTGTGCTCTGTAAGTGAACAGGAGACCCCCTTCTTTTGTCCCTCCCCCAAGTAATTGGTCCAGGGACTGAAAGCTATAAGGCTCTCCTTTGACCCCCAGCCGCGCACTGCCCTGGTTTGGGATAAATTCAGGGGCATAACTGTGAAATCAAGGGCAGTAAGTGTCTTGGCAGTCAGGAGATAATGGTGCAATTAAGCAGAGCTGGTGGCTCCTAGGGATTAATGGAGTCCTGCCAGAGTTTATGGCTTTGGGCATAGCTGAACGCCATTAACCTTAACAGCTCATCAATCTGTATAAAAGGCCAGAGGTTTTGCTCTTAGGTTTTCCAGGTTAGGAAATTATTAAAAAAAATAAATCTTGGTGGAAGAAAAAAAGTAATTGCATGCATGACATTTATTCAGCACCATATTTATAATTATACACCACTGCCAAGCTATCTCTGCCATAACGTCTGCAGTTTGTACTCTGTTGACTCTTCAGAGGCTCCATGGTGAAGCGTCACCGATGATGGTTTTGCTGAAGCATGAGACTGAAATGTGAGGGTTTTGTGACAGAGCTGAGGAAGCAGGTCCCTTAGCGGAGAGAGCATCTCAACTGAGTTGTCTCATTTAATCCTCACAGCCAGGCTGGGAGGCGGTGTTCCTCGGTGGGAGGCCAGGGAGAGGTTAAGTAACTTGCTCAAGGTCATTCAGAGAGCAGATATAATTACAAATGGCTTCCTAACATTCTGCCAACTCAACATACCATATCAATCCATTCATGGAGTGTTAGACGTCCTGTTACTTTCCAGTTTTTGTTATCATAAATGACAACTCTAAGAAAATGCCCTTATACATGTGGCTTTCCCCACAATTTGGACTATTTCTTATAAATATGCTCTAAGAAATGGGATAACTGAGTGAAAAGGTATGAATATTTCACTGGCTTACGATAGGTATCACCAAATTGCTTCCAAAGTGGAACTAATCAATGTACAATGCCATTAGCAACAAACTAATGCACCAGGTACAGTACACCCTTGCCACTGAGTATTGGCATTGACAAATGTCATTCTGTTAATCTAGTAGGTAAAGCATTTTATGTTCCATAGGTTTAAACTGTGTATGATGCTAAACATCTTCCCAGCTACTTGTTTACTAGACGGCTGTTCTCCTCAAGGAGTTTACGTTCTCAGCTCACCTGCTAGCCTGTTGTTGATAGAGCCGCCCATAGTGCAGTTTCAGCAAGCAGTGTGTATCTTGTGAGTCCCCTGGGGATCTTGCTGAAATGCAGACTGACTCAGCAGGTCTGGCTGGGGTGGGGCTTCCCTTCTAACAAGCTCCTACATGGTAAGAGAAGGATGCTGGTCTGGGGCCACGCTGTGGGGACAGCCCTAAGGACAATGCGAATAGACCATATGCCCTGCCTCCCAAAGTGCCCTTCAGGTGTCTTCCTTAAACTGAACTGAGGCTTCACAGCTACATGGTACTCACTGCAACAAGAACTCAACACTGACCTTTGGCCCTTTGTTACTAATTACTCCCAGAGTTTCCCTTCTTTGGGGGTCAGGACATTGTATGGCTTATATTCCACTGGCAGAGCCTCTGGTAAGCATGATGTCATGGTGAAGAACTGCCACAAAGGCTCCAAAGACCTTGGAGCTCTTCTGCCCTGGACTCGGTCAACTTTGGAACTGCCCTGACCCAGCCTGCCTGTACTCTCCCATCCAGGATCCCAGCTGTGCCCCAGTTGCCCAGGCTGAAACCATCTGTAAGGAGGGCACCTGAAATGGAGCCAGGGCTACCACAAGGACCACCCAGACACTCCTCTCCCTTTCCCACTCCTGTGCATTTAGATGCAGAGCAGGACACCCTGTCATGAACATGTCCATCACTTCTACCCTGGGGATCCCACGGCTGCAGAGGGATTGTGCTATACCTCGGGCTTTCTGTGTAGAACAGGAGACCAGAGCACCTTCTGGAGGGGAAGGGGCAGTGGGAAGGCAGAAAACTTGACAGAGAGCACGTGGATGTCAAGTTCAGACAGAAACACAGAAGGCAAAGAGAGCCAAGAGCTGTAAGGAGTTTATCTACTTTCTATTAAGACTACTAGTGGAAAGAAACCTGTGCCCCAGATGTAAATTCTGTGCTCCCCACTCCCCACACCTAACCCCACTCCACCTAGAATTGCTCTCTGGGTTCTCTCTGCTGTGCATTCAAATACACTATGATCTTTTAGCTCAGGACTCACCAAACTACCACCTATGAACCAAACCCATCTCACCACATGCCTTTGTAAATAAAGTTTTATTGCAACATGGCCCTTCATCCCTTTACATATTGTCTATGGCTCTTTTGTGCTACGAAGACAGAGTTCAATAGTTGGAGCAGAGTTGAGCAGTTGTGATAGAGAACTTACAGCCTTCAAAGTCTAAAACACTATCCAGACTTTGGCACAAAACATTTGCCAATCCATCTTATGCGATTCTTTCGGATCCAGCTGGACTCAAATACTTAACACCAGCTGGGAGCTCTCTGTCACCCCATAGCCCTGACTCCAGTAGCCCTGCTGTTTTCTATACAGGACTGAAATGTTACTCTTTCTTGCCCAGTTTCCTCATCTACAAAGATAGGGATGATATCACCAGGTCCTAGAGTCATTAAAGCGTCAATGGAATAATGAATACCAATTTCCCAACAGCTCCTTGAAACCAATCAGGTACACACCCAACTGTCCTCTTGTCCATTTTGGCTTCTTCAATGCTCAGTGAGCACCTTTTGCTCCCAGGCATATTAGATGTTCTCAAGAGGTATTGACTCTACAGAAAAGGGAAGAATATGGGATTTTTTTTCTGGGGCTCAATATCCAGAAGGTAAACTGAATGTAGCAGAGACGGCCACCTCCAGGGCAGGAGCAGGTGAGAAGTGGGCACTCACAGGACGCAGACTACAGTCTAGGCAACCCAGGCTCCCTGGGTTTGCCCTAGGAGCTATGAAACAGGCATATATGCAACAAAAGCTCTAAGAAAGAAATGAACAAATATAAATGCCAGAAATTAAAGAATCACGAGGCTGCAGAATTTAGTATCCAGGTTAAATACAGAAAATACTTATAATTAAATGACCAGAGGTCCCTCGCTGCATTGAGCAGCTTGTACAGCACTCCGAGGCAAGAGGGGCGTGCGTGTGAAACCCCTTCCCCACTGTGCAGCTGAGGGCGCCCAGTTGCCGAGCCACTTTACATCCTTGCAGGGATGAGACCACATGTGCACTCAGATTCCCAGAGCCTGGCAAATCAAAGCTCTCCAGCCAGAGAGACACGTGCAAGGGAGGCCACATCAGAGAGGTGCAGGGCCTGTCGCCTAACTCAGGGGCAAGTGCAGAGTAGGAACAAGCTCTCTCCTGACAGCACGTGCCATGTGCAAGAAGAAACCTACCCGAAGTTCCAGCTGGTGTGAAGCCCACTCCTCTCTCCAGCCCAGACTTGTATCTTTTCTGTGCTTGACACCTAAGGTGGGGCAGCAAATGAAAACCGCAGCCAGTGGTTTCCTCCTAGACCAGTGGTTCTCAACTTGGGGGGGGGTCAAATGACCCTTTCACAGGGGTCACCTAAATACATCCTGCATATCAAATATTTACATTATGATTCCTAACAGTAGCAAAATTACAGTTATGAAGTAGCAATGAAAATAATTTTATGGTTGGGGGTCACCACAACATGAGAACTGTATTAAAGTGTTGCGGCATTAGGAAGGTTGAGAACCACTGTCCTAGACTATCAGAAATTCCCAGAATAATGATTTTTTTTTTTTTTTTTGAGACACAGTCTTACTCTGTTGCTTAAGCTAGAACACCGTGACATCTTAACTCATAGCAATCTCAGACTTGTGCTCAAGATATCCTCTTGCCTCAGCCTCCCAAGTAGCTGGGAGTATAGGCATCTACCATGACGTCTGGCTAGTTTTCCTATTTTGAGCTCAGGAGTTCAAGACCAGCCTGAGCAAGAGCAAGACCCCATCTCTTCTAAAAATAGAAAAATTAGCCAGCCATTGTGGTGGGCACCTGTAAATCCAGCTACTCAGGAGGCTGAGGCAAGAGGATTGTCTAACCTAAGAGTTTGAGGTTGCTGTGAGCTATGACGCCACAGTACTGTACTGAGAGGGAGAGAGATTCTGTCTCCAAAAAAAAAAAAAAAAAAAAGGCTTTATTTCACTATTTACCTAATTGTGCTATGTTTTCATTAAACAGTTACATGCAGCATAATGACGTCTCAGTGGAGGAGGTCCACAGGTACAAGCTCCCATGAGATTACAGTACCATGTTTTTACTGCACCTTTTCTATGCTTAGATACATAGTTACTTCCCACTGTGTACAGGTGCTGCAGCATTCAGTATAGTAACATGCCGCACAGGTGTGCAGCCTGGGAGCAAAAGGCTGTGCCATGTCACCTAGGTGTGTTGAAGAGTAGACCATCTAGTGTGTGTAAGTCTCTCTACAATGTATGCACAATGATGAAACTGCCTAAGGACGCATTTTCAGAACACAGCCCTGCTGTTAAGTAATGTATATTTGGGGCAGGTTCTGGACTTGAAAAGGCCTGACTGCTGACTCTGCAGCAGTCCCATGGTGAAACCCCTTCCAGTACTTTCTCAGCCACCCAGCCACTGGACACATCCAGTGGTGACCTCCCCTGTGCTAAGCAGCTCAACCCTTTATCGTCAGCAGTTGTTACTGCAAGAGTCTTTCTTATACTGTACACAATCAAAATCCGTTCCCACATCCAAGTCAGACCATTCACCATCTGGTCTGATTGCAATTCCCAGCTAAATTCACCTCTCAACCTCCAACATTTCAGAGGTAATGGTTCTGGTGTATACTGAAACCAGAGGTGCTGAAAACACAGATGTGGAACTGAATTCTATTAAAAAAAAAAAAAAAACACTTCATGGAATAATTCATGGAATATAAGCTCTCTCTCATATAAATTGGTTATCAAAGAGCTATTTTAGAAAATTCTAATTAATGCCATTCAGCAGAAAAATCAAAGCAGCCATTTTATAAAAGCCTACAGTGTAGAAATGTTTATGTTTCAGAAGAACAAACTCCTAGAACTGAAGACTCTTAAGTGTAAGAAACTGTTGGTATCTTGTGCTGGCTCTCAGACCTAAACACGGGCACCATGTTTCCGTGCCATTTCGCCACAACGCTCGACACACATGCTCACACGTACAACTGACCATTCCATGCATATTTCCGACCGGCCAGGCATTTTGCAGAACACTGTTCAGAACACTATGAATTCATGATCAAAAGAAAATCAAGCTTCTATATATGCAGGACTGCTTAAACGTTCAGAATGCTTGGACTAAATCATACCTGATTGATGGTCTTTTCCATTTGGACCAAGCCCAGGTTGGGCAGTGTGTTTTTTATAAAGTCGACTATGGTTTCTAGGTTTTCATGCTGCAGAATCAAGGGCTTATGGCTTCCCAAAAGACTCAAAGCCACTTTAAATATGACCTCTGATCCCTGAAGAAAGATCATATCTGAGAAAACACAGAAATGCAGAAAGTTAAACAGACCAATTTCTGATGAAGTATTATTCTTTTTCCTTATATCATAGAGTAGGAGGGTGGGAAACATAAGCCCTGATTGCAAATTTAATTTCTTTTATAAGAGCCTGATAACTCAGATAGGGTTGTCAAGACAATAATCCAATTAAAAATAATAAACATTCTGCTAAGATTGTGTCACAGGTTCAAATAAATCTTTTTTCTTTTTTTTACCCTAAAAATAAATTCAAACATGTTTCAAAAGTTACACTGGGAAAGAAAAAAAGGTTTTGTATTAGTTCCATTTTTCTAGGAATGCTCTGGGTTTTAAAGAAGCTACTAAAAACTTATGTTTTCATAGGTAAACTGAAAGATTTTCATAGACTCAGCATCAAAAATTAAGACAGAATAAGTGAAAAAGTACCTCTGTTTTGAAATAAGGGGTAGAATTAAAACATCTTTAAAAACCGTAAAACATCTCCATTATTGTAAAAAAATATATTATTAAACACAAGTTCACTGAACTTTAACATGATAATGGAGTGAAGAACTTTGTTAGGATTATAGTTCTTGCCATATTTTTTCTTAGAACGGCTGGCAAATGTTAGCAATTCCTATGGTGATACAGGGAGGGGGGGGCAAGTGGCCAAGACAACTGGGCAGGCAGCAAGCCCAGCCCTGGGTCCTCCGTCCACACAGAGCTGAAGCCACTAAGAAAAAAAGTCAAATGTCTCAGGGCAGAAGGAGCTAATCACAGGGTGCCTAAATTCATGCAAGTTACCTAAAAACTGAAATATATGAAAAAAATAGTTAAAAAATCAGAGTAAGTATAATTAGGGTAACTGTCAATATTTCTTTTCATTCTTTATTTTTTTTGCTGCAGGCTAATGAAACAAAGGACTTGTGAATTTCAACTCAAGGAAACCAAGAGCAGGTGAGAGGAAGAATCTCCCCATGACAGCTCTCTAGCTGGTTTAGTGTGGTAACATTTAAAAACCGCTAAGAAACAGAGAGTAAAGGCAGGACTCCACTGGGTAAATGGGAAATTGCATCAGAGAGGTTTTTGGTCAAAGCACAGAGAGAAATGATAGACCCGGGTGCCTTGCTGCTGGCTGGATTAGCCCTTGAGCTGCTGTGTGACCTTCTCAAAGGCCTTAACACAGGGGCTGATCAGTGCCTCCTGAGACAGACCTAAGCAATGACCTCAGAGATCAGAGTCCCTCGTCCCTCACACAGCCTGGGGCCCATGTTGCTTCCACAAACATCTCAGCTGCTGACCGCTGAGGGCACAGGGTAGCCCTAGCAAACAGGGAAGATCCTTTGCCTCTTTCTTAGGTTTGGTGGTTGAGTCTGGGAAGATACGTTAGAAAACTAATTCTATCTTTGAAATCTAAGTTTCTTGGGGCAAACTGTAAATGTACAGAGGCAGAGGCATGAAGAACATTCCTGTCAAGTGTCTGCTTTATAAAATACACAGTTTACCCATATAACCCTCCTCTATAGAAAATAAAAAGACCTTAAAGTACTATAACTAAGATGTATTTATAAACAGAAATGATATTTCCATAAACAAAATGATAAAGTAAATTGAGGTTTCAGTGGTTTAGACAGTAAGACTTCCTTTCAATACATGAACATTTATAGCTGAAATAAAAGCTGATGGCATCTTTCATAATAAAAATCGAGACATATTTATTTTCTGAGGGGGAAGGACAGGGATCCTGGGGAAAGCATTTCACTATCAGATCAGTGATTTTCTATAACTTGGTATTAGTCTCTCAAGGACAAGTTCCTTAAAATTAGATACAGTAGCAAAGTAAAGCCCACTGAATAATTATTGGGGAACTATTCTGAGCATAATCACTCAACCCGAATCAATGGTCTCCTCAGGTCTTCTCAGTTGTATCTTTTAGGACAGTGATTTTCAACCAGTGTGCCATGAGGGGATCTCAGGTGTGCCACGAAAACTTCTAAAAATTAATTATTCTCAAAAGAAGTTCAAAGCACAGTATGTATATTCTTTTTTTTTTAATCAACATAATTTAAGTATGCTGTGTAAGTTTAACTATGGGTCCAAGTGTCCCCTCAGATAAAAAAGGTTGAATAATACTGCTTTAGCATCTTGGCTTTTACAAACCAACTTAGTAAGTGCTTCAATTCCAAACTGAAATTCTTCTGGAACATATGATAAAAATGCAATGAAATTTGGAGAGATATGTGTGGGTTTTCTATTTTTTAAAACCTCTTTATCAATATGTTAAAAAATTAAAATATAACCTGGGCATGTTTGTTTTATTGGATCTATTTGTATTTAATATAATAAAAAAGAAATGTTCTCTCCTAATCACAACACCTTAGGAGCACTCTGTTGAGAAGTTTCCTCTAATTTAACTGAAGGAGAATTTGTGAAGCATCTAGCATATGCCAGTCCTGCACTGTTTTAGGCTCTGTGGATTAAATTAAACAAAGAACACACTGCAGAGACACCAACCAGCAAGTACTGGTTTGTTGGAGTTATGAGGACAAAGAGGCTGGAGAATGTCCAAGAAAAGGTGACAGCTTGAAGAACCAATGGGAAGGTGCCAGGTAAGAGGGCCAGAGAGGAAGCTCTGAGCAGAGGGAAGAGAGCATGCAAACACAGAGAGGCCTGACAGAACGGAGTAAGACGCGGAGAGGCCTGACAGAACC